AGCAAGCAAGCAAGCAAGCAAGCAAGCAAGCAAGCAAGCAAGCACTCAAGCACTCAAGCACTCAAGCAGCGAGCAAGCCATCAAGCAAGCAAGCAAACAAGCCAAGCAAGGTGGCAGAAAAACAAACAGACAAACAAGCAAGCAAGCAAGCAGGCGAGCAAGCAAGCAAGCGAGCAAGCAAGCAAGCCATCAAGCAAGCCAGCAAACAAACCAAGCTAGGTGGCAGAAAAACAAACAAGCCAGCAAACGAACAGACTGACAAGCTGTAAATTTGGGTCCACACGTAATAGGCCGGTTCCGGGGTTCATTCCCCCTCACAGCTGACGATTGCCTCGTCTCCCCCAGCACCGCCACATAGCTGTAGGTGCCCTCGCCTGCCGGGAGACATAGGATGGGGAGGTGTGCGCTGAAATTCCCTACTCCCTAAACATGAATCGAGTCCTCTCTGAAAGAGCCCCTCAAAAAACGAAACAACCTCCTCCAAAAGGGTCAACACCCCATTCCTTCAGACGCCATTGGGGCCTGTCAGGACGCAAGAATGTCTAATAGGGCACTGTTGGGGCCTTTGCTGGATTACTCCACGGTGGACTTGTTGGGAATGGCTCCAACTCAAAAGTGCGCCACGCCCCTTGCTTTTGGATTTGCAGGCACTCGAACAAATCCACCAGTGGGTTCATTAATCAAATCCCCGCCAAAACAGAACAGGGGCAACTCCCCCAAAGAAAAAGTTCGTTCATCTTGCCCCTTCAAGAAAGTGAAAAGGGGCAATCCCCCCCCCCACAAAAAAGCAAACAAAACAAACAAAACAAAACAAACGAACGGAAAAGACAACAACAAAACCTACTGCGGTGAATCTCCCGCGCCTTCCGGCTCCATGGGCTCCGCCTCGCGCCATTGGGACCTGCCGATCTGGATCCTGCTGGTATCCAATTAATGTGTATGAATATCGGTCTATATATATACACAGATTAATAATTTGTATTCTATGTATTAATACATATTTGTTTTGCTGACATATATGAATGTATATATATATATATACATGTACGCATCCGCCGCCCCCTACTCCAAAAGGGGAAGGGTGGATCATCATCATTATCACCATCGTCATCGTCGAGGTCGCTGTCGTCATCATCATCATCATCATCGTTGTTATCATCATTGTCGTCATCCGCATCTTGTTCTTTATTCAACTGTGGCGTCAGGCACCGCGGGTGAGGCTGGGGATGCCAAGTATGTACAGTACGAGCTCACTTTCGAGGCAAGGGCCCAGCATCTCCAGTGAAGTCGCAGAGGAAATGCTTTTCCGCTTGCTGAACGTAGGTACTTGGTAGCTAAAGTGGTCCCAAAGGGAACATCCCCCAATGGGACTTCCGTTTTGGGAGGGGAACTCCGCAAACGGAGAGATATAGCAGACACTCGCGCATCAGGCCCAACCAAAATGACGACCTTTGACGGATTCCCCATCCTGAAAATGGCTGTGGTTGGCAGCACTGGGAGGCAGCCCTGAGATATATGCATGCACATGTGTATGCAAGTATGTGTGAGTGTGTGGGTGATGAGGTGGTATCATAGATTTATACATACATAATATATATATATATATTGTTGTTGCGATTATTGTGATTATGTGTATTAGTACTATTATTGGAGGTTGTTATTGTTGTTGATGTTGGCATTGGTATGGTTAATGTTCTTATTGTTATTAGTATTACTATACGTATTGTTCTTGTTTTGGTTTGTGTATATGTTATGTTGTTCATAGTATTGTTTGTATTGTTATTATTATTGGTATAATCAATATCAGCATTGTCATCATTAATCATTGTCATTATAGTTGGTGGTGTTTCTAGTTGCTCTAGTACTATCATTGGTATGATCATTGTTAGTGTGCTTATTATTAGTATTGGTAGCATTATTGTTATTGTTCTTGCAGTTGTTAGTAGTATTGAATTCATCATTATTGTCACGAGTATGTGTTGGTTTTTTTAATACTAACGATATGCATTGTTATTATTAGTATTGTCATTGTGACCGTTGTCATTATGATTAGTTGTGTTACTATGAGTTTGATTATCATTATGAGTATCATGATTATTATGATTACTAGTATTATCATCATTATTAGTATTATTTACAATTATGAATAGTTCTTATGAGTAAAACTATTGTTATCATTATATATAATAATTGATGGTGTAACCTAGCAGATGATAATGTTGATTGATGATCAGTGATCACATTATCACATGAGGAGCGTCAGAGTAAACGTCCACGGAACATGTAACATCCAGGTCTGCTCGGCAGAGTTCTCTGCTGCATGCCCCGCAATCCATGCAGCTCAATCAAACAACGAATGAAAAGCCTACAATGGTCTTTGAGCATTGATCCAGAGGGAAGATGTTGTCAAACCATGGCCCTTTTCTCATTCTTCAAAGAGATGAAGAGAGCTGGGGACATCCACACCTTCAGAGAGCCCACAAATTTGACCCACCCACTCCGCCCTGGGCGCACCATGATCCCACGATCATGTACGAGCGCGCGGGCAGAAGCTCGTGGTCCAGTGCGCCGCCACCACCCGGCCAGTACATGATGCTATCCTCATGGCCGGCGTAACGAAGGAGGAATTCCCAGTTGTGCCGCCAAGAAGGGGAGATCAAAGAGTCAAAGGAAAGCCAACCAAAACCGCCAAGACGGCGTGTTTGTGTGAGAAGCGAGCATGCGAGTCTCCCAACTGCTCCTTCAAAAGGTTCCTAAGCCAGAAACTTTTAACAAGGCCCCCTGAAGAACACACAAAAACAAATTGTAAAAGGGGATCTAAATTTTTACTGGCCCAAATGCATCCTGTATGGGACCCTCTTTACGGGCCAATTCGCAGACTCGGCCAATTCGCGTGACTTTGGAGAAACTGTGTGGAGGCCTCCTGTACAAGGGCACTCCACTGATTTCAGACTGGGCCATCGGGGACTTAGTAAATGGTTAGTAACCATGGTCATAGCCCACGTGCCATGGTTATAAGTCTCCCAAGTGCGCTATAACCATAGTTACTAACCACACCAAGTACCCGATCGCCCCTTTAAGCAGTAGATGGCACGCGATTTTGAGGGCTGTTTAGACATACAATCTGGCACTAGCATTTCTGAAAGCTGAAAACGGAGCCATCTACTATTGACAAAAGTCATGCTCGGATGTTCTAACCAGCCAGTTCCAAAGGTGTTCCCTACGTAGTGGGCACGAGCCTAAGACTGTTTCCCAGATCTCAAAGCCAAATACCACCTAACATCCCCCCTACCTTAAGGGGGAGGGGGGTGGGGGGTCCCACAATTCCATTTATTCAGTCTTCCCCACAAAAGGGAAAATGGGACCCTAAAGGGAATTCCAGGGGTCAACCCCCTCTCCAATTCCATTTTGAAGGGGGTGGATCACCACGCGAAACATGGATCTCCCACCAGTGGCCCGAGTCCCGGGGCCCGAGTCTCCCTGTCTGAGCTAAAAATTGAACACGGCTAGAGTGTAGACTTCTATGACTTCTCGTCGGGAGAACCCGGGTGAACTACTTGCGCGTGCTCCGCCCCGACAACTAGCTCCGCCCCGACAACTAGCTCTCATGTCGTTGAACAATTCAAACGGGCATGGGCTCTCGTCAGTCGCATCCAGCGAATGAAGCGAATGGGAATTGTCCAAAAGCTGTCCATCACAAGAAGCTCCTGATGTGTAGACCCGCCCGAATCAAAGGCCCCGACTCTCGTGGATATAACCTTGGCTGGACATGGTCGCTGGCGGTCATCGCACACGAGCATGTCCTTCTCCTCAAGTTACCGCCTTTCTAAGGATCCTGTAAAGTGGAAGCTGAAGGAGTTCCCAGTTGGAGACAACCGAATGAGGTCTGTTAGAACCCCCTCTAGCACAGGTGGAGTCGGGATTTTGCCCTATGCGCGGCTGTTTGAAACAGTAATCAAGTGGGTGCGTCAAAGTTAACATGTTGAGGGGGTCTCAAAATTAAACTGTGGCTTGTCTCCCTAGAAACCGCCATTTCTGCAGATGTCACTTAAATGGACCTGCCAAAGACATCGCCTCAGCGTCATGTTGAGGTTCCAGCCACTTGCTGCTCACGTTTGTCCCTTGTGGATCCCCAGGCTATGGTGTAGACGTTCCTCGGCTCAAGGCGATGGAAGGCGGTTGCATAGGAGGGATCCTCGCAAGACTTCTACAGGTGTATGCCATACATATATCTATATATAGACAGATGAATGTGATATAGACAGATGTATGTGCATAAACATGCGGATAGCAAGTGTATGTATATACATCACGGTAAGTAGACAGCACCCTTTCTAGAATGCCTCACTGCAGTTTGTGACTGCGGTTCGAATGTCAGCGTTGGCAAGTCAGAAGCATTGTAGGGCCTTTAGCCAATAACACTGCCAACTGTCTGGGCGACCCTAAAGCCCACAGTCAACAGGCGCCTTGACTGGGCGGGCGGGACGGGGTCAAAGAGGCATTGCCTTGAGGTGAATGGTTGCATGTGCAGCTTCCGTGATGTCATGTGCACCCAGACCTGCCGGTCCTAAACACTATGCTCATGAACAAATAAATATACAAATAAATAAATATATACATACACATATGTATACACATATGCATTCAAGCATGTATGCGTCTATACATATATGATATGACTGCATAGATTTATGTATGTATGGTACAGCGTTGCCAGCCCCCCCCCCACCAATGGTCATGGGTCAGACAAGTACCCCCCCCCCCTGTGGTTGTGGTCCTGTGGTTGGGTTGTGGTGGTTTAGGGTTGGTTTAGAATTGGTTTAGGGTATATTTAGGGTGTATTTAGGGTTAGTTTAGGGTTGGTTTAGGGTTGGTTTATGTTGATTTAGGGTGGTTTAGGGTTGGTTTAGGGTTGGTTTAGGTTTACGGTTTAGGGTTTGGTTTAGGGTGTATTTAGGGTTGGTTTAGGGTTACTTTAGCGTTGGTTTAGGGTTGGCTTAGGTTTAGGGTTTATTGTTTAGGGATGGGTTTAGGGTGCATTTGGGGTTAGTTTAGGGTTGGTTTAGGGTTAGTTTACGGTTGGTTTATGTTGATTTAGGGTTGGTTTAGGTTTAGAGGTCTACGGTTTAGGGTTTGGTTTAGAGGGCATTTACGGTTCGTTTAGGGTTGGTTTAGGGTTGGTTTATGGTTGGTTGCGGGTTGGCTTGTCCTGGGGGTGGGGGTGCCGGGGTGTCGGGGTGCGAATTCAGGGGGTCGGGGTGCGGGTGGGACCGTAGGTGACAGGATCCGGGGGCTCGGGGTCTCAGGGCGGTGGGGGGGGGGGGGTCCTGGGGGACCCATACCATATGGGGGGGGGGGGGGGTCTGGCTTGGCAGGGTTTACTGCTTTACACATCTGCCTTTGTGTTCAGAACCTTTGCATTTTCCTGCCATGCCCAATAGACCTCGATTTGTAAGAAACGTCTAAGTGATCAAGGAAAATGTGCCTTTCTAGGTTTAGCTCCCCTTGCTCCTGGCCCACGTAGCAACACGGAACACGGGGCCATTTGTATATGTCCCCCCGGATCCAGGTTTGGGGCTGCAACATCCAAGTTCAGAGGGAAACAGGCCATTCTGGAAGAAAGATGCCCGCTTTGCCGCTTTGCTTCTGCCTCAGCTCCCCAAAAACCTGTTCCTCCGGAACCATGTTGGGGACCTACCGCGACTTCAGAGCTTTCTCAGCTTGAGCTGCCTAAAGCGCCGAGGCCAGAAGCCTCTCAAAGAAATCTGAGGCTTGGAACTTGTGCCTGAAGACTCAAGATGATTGTCTTGTCTTGTCGGGGAACCTCGCAGCTGTGAAGGGCACAAAGTGATGAGAGGTTCAAAACTATCTGCAATCTTTTGTTCAATACAACGTCTCCCATATGTTGCAAACTCCCGAACAAAATCCTCTGTGCAAACAAACGGCTGCGAAGTGCTGAAAAACTGGATACAAAAAAAGAGGTTCGTACTGGTTGGCAAGGATCATGGGGAGGTGACCATATATATATATGTATATATACAGTATACATATGTGTGTACCTGTTCTTCAAAACATAGTTTCTTGACGATTAGCACGCGTCCTGTCCGTCATGTTTTTCCCGGTCACGCAGGCCAAATCTATGCAAATGTGCGCATCCTGACAGGACTGCGCCCACGCATGCCAGATGTGAAGCACAACTTCAGACTGCACCCGCAACCACATGAGCTCGCGCATGCTAAATGGATCCAAATGGTAAGCACACCTAGTAAACCCATGTCCACAACTAAGTGAGCCCACGCATGCCAAAAGGATGGTCAGAGGTCCCCTGGGACATCATGTCAGCAGCATCCGGAACAGAAACCATGGCCACCTGAGCCAAGCACACATTATCTCCCGGGGGAACTGTAGGATAAGCACACCTCGTGCACCCACGCTTGCCAAATGATAAGCACACCTTCAGACTGCATGCTCAACCAAGTGCACGCACGCATACCGAATGATAAGCACAGCCGCCACAGGCATACCTTCAGATGCAGGGCATGATGCAGGGCTTTTGGGCTCAAGCACGCTCTGCCAAGCGAGGGAATGTGTGCGCATGCGAAAAGCTCATGTGGGCTTTGTCAAGTGGCAAAGCGTTGCCAAATAAGGGACTGTTCAAGGTTGAAAAGGGGCGCCTTGCACGCCTTCTGCGCGGACCGGCACCGGTAAGTGCACCCGTCGAGATGTGTGTGTGTGTGTGTATATATCTATATATACACAGGCAGACACACGTGTGATTTCAATTCGTTTCAACTCATTCCATATCATATCACAAAGAAAAACATACGGGTCGTCAAAATAGGACCCCAAAATGGTTGTTCCTTCTGGCTCCCTTGAAACCAAGGTACGCCTCCAAAAACCCAGCACCACCACTCCACATCGAGCGGTAGCTTCTCACTCTCGCTCGCTCCTTGCTTTGGATTCAGCCCAAGGTGCGAGCCCCCAAAGCCTCGGGACATCACGCCCACGAAGGCGCTCTGCTTCTGGTACCTGCGCATCGAGACGCGAGAGACGCTCGGGACTCGGGGCGCCCGAAGAAAAGTGCTCGCTTTGGGCGCCCCAACAAGGGGGCGGTGGCACCCCGGGTGGGATTTTTAGGCCCTTAAAAGCAAACCGGAAAAGGCGACCCTCACAAAAAGACATGGTGGATTCTAGCAAGTTGCCCATATGCTTGAACGTTTCCAACAGCATTCACCGGTAAAGAAAAGCAGGATCCGGTTTGGGCCAGGCCCCTGGCCAAAGATTCTGGCGGTCATCTGAGCCATCGGGATGCGTGGCCCACAAGACTTGGCGTTTCACCGTGGTAAATGGATGGCATAACACCAACCCAAACCAGAACCCATCTATGCCTAACCAAAATATAGCAGTTTTTCGCTGAGAATTCGGGACCGCAACCCATCTGGACAAGGGAAGCTGGAGCTCCATAGGCAGCCACATCGATTCCCGTGGCTCGTCTTTTTGTTGAGGCTACCCTTTTGGCTTGGTTCTCAAAAAAAAAGGAACACCGTTTTTTTTTTAGGGGGGAGTCCGCGAAAAGACACAAACACACACCCATATATGTGTCTGTGACAGTAGGGTACCTATTTGCGGAAGCCCAAACTTCGCCAGACTTGGCCCCGCGCAAGATTCCGCACGCCATCCACCTATGTTAGTGCCACAACCTGCCCAACGACAAGAAGAAAATCAGCAACCACCCACCCCCAAATATTTTTCAAGGACTTCGAAGAACGAGCCGTTCCACGCGTCTGCGCTTCTCCTTTCGTCGGTTGCCGGCACCGGTGTTTGGAGGCCCCCGGGTGCTGATCCTGTTCCGGCACTCCATGAGCTCCGTGGCGATGCTGACGGCTTGGTCTTCCAGGTCGCAGTGGGGATTGGCCTGAAACGCGACCCGTTGCCCCGGATGCCCCGGAGGTGGGGGAAGTGGCTTGGATATGGAGTGGCTTGGATTGGCTTGGATTGGTTTGGATCGGTTTGCAGTGCCTTGGATTGGCTTGGAGTGGCCTGGATTGGTTTGGAGTGGCCTGGATTGGTTTGGAGTGGCTTGGATTGGCTTGGATTGGTTTGGATCGGTTTGCAGTGCCTTGGATTGGCTTGGAGTGGCCTGGATTGGTTTGGAGTGGCCTGGATTGGTTTGGAGTGGCTTGGATTGGCTTGGATTGGTTTGGATCGGTTTGCAGTGCCTTGGATTGGCTTGGAGTGGCCTGGATTGGTTTGGAGTGGCCTGGATTGGTTTGGAGTGGCTTGGATTGGCTTGGATTGGTTTGGATGGCTTGGATTGGGAGTGGCCTGCATTGGTTTGGAGTGGCCTGGATTGGTTTGGAGTGGCTTGGATTGGCTTGGATTGGTTTGGATCGGTTTGCAGTGCCTTGGATTGGCTTGGAGTGGGTCTGGATTGGTTTGGAGTGGCCTGGATTGGTTTGGAGTGGCTTGGATTGGCTTGGATTGGTTTGGATCGGTTTGCAGTGCCTTGGATTGGCTTGGAGTGGCCTGGATTGGTTTGGAGTGGCCTGGATTGGTTTGGAGTGGCTTGGATTGGCTTGGATTGGTTTGGATCGGTTTGCAGTGCCTTGGATTGGCTTGGAGTGGCCTGGATTGGTTTGGAGTGGCCTGGATTGGTTTGGAGTGGCTTGGATTGGCTTGGATTGGTTTGGATCGGTTTGCAGTGCCTTGGATTGGCTTGGAGTGGTCTGGATTGGTTTGGAGTGGCCTGGATTGGTTTGGAGTGGCTTGGATTGGCTTGGATTGGTTTGGATCGGTTTGCAGCGCCTTGGATTGGCTTGGAGTGGCCTGGATTGGTTTGGAGTGGCCTGGATTGATTTGGAGTGGCTTGGATTGGCTTGGATTGGTTTGGATCGGTTTGCAGTGCCTTGGATTGGCTTGGAGTGGCCTGGATTGGTTTGGAGTGGCCTGGATTGGTTTGGATTGGCTTGGCTTGGATTGGTTTGGATCGGTTTGCAGTGCCTTGGATTGGCTTGGAGTGGCCTGGATTGGTTTGGAGTGGCCTGGATTGGTTTGGAGTGGCTTGGATTGGCTTGGATTGGTTTGGATCGGTTTGCAGTGCCTTGGATTGGCTTGGAGTGGCCTGGATTGGTTTGGAGTGGCCTGGATTGGTTTGGAGTGGCTTGGATTGGTTTGGATCGGTTTGCAGTGCCTTGGATTGGCTTGGAGTGGCCTGGATTGGTTTAAAGTGGCCTGGATTGGTTTGGAGTGGCTTGGATTGGCTTGGATCGGTTTGAACTGGTTTGGAGTGGCCTGGATTGGTTTGGAGTGGCCTGGATTGGTTTGGATCGGTTTGGATCGGTTTGCAGTGCCTTGGATTGGCTTGGATCGGTTTGAACTGGTTTGGAGTGGCCTGGATTGGTTTGGAGTGGCTTGGATTGGTTTGGATTGGCTTGGATCGGCTGGTTTGGAGTGGCTTGGATTGGCTTGGATCGGTTTGAACTGGTTTGGAGTGGCCTGGATTGGTTTGGAGTGGCCTGGATTGGTTTGGAGTGGCCTGGATTGGTTTGGAGTGGCTTGGATTGGTTTGGAGTGGCTTGGATTGGCTTGGATCGGTTTGAACTCGTTTGGAGTGGCCTGGATTGGCTTGGATCGGTTTGAACTGGTTTGGAGTGGCCTGGATTGGTTTGGAGTGGCCTGGATTGGTTTGGAGTGGCCTGGATTGGTTTGGAGTGGCTTGGATTGGTTTGGAGTGGCTTGGATTGGCTTGGATCGGCTGGTTTGGAGTGGCTTGGATCGGTTTGAACTCGTTTGGAGTGGCCTGGATTGGTTTGGAGTGGCCTGGATTGGTTTGGAGTGGCCTGGATTGGTTTGGAGTGGCCTGGATTGGTTTGGAGTGGCTTGGATTGGTTTGGAGTGGCTTGGATTGGCTTGGATCGGTTTGAACTGGTTTGGAGTGGCCTGGATTGGTTTGGAGTGGCTTGGATTGGTTTGGAGTGGCTTGGATCGGCTGGTTTGGAGTGGCTTGGATTGGCTTGGATCGGTTTGAACTGGTTTGGAGTGGCCTGGATTGGTTTGGAGTGGCTTGGATTGGCTTGGATCGGCTGGTTTGGAGTGGCTTGGATTGGCTTGGATCAGTTTAAACTGGTTTGGAGTGGCCTGGATTGGTTTGGAGTGGCCTGGATTGGTTTGGAGTGGCTTGGATTGGTTTGGAGTGGCTTGGATTGGCTTGGATCGGCTTGGATTGGTTTGGAGTGGCTTGGATTGGCCTGGATTGGTTTGGAGTGGCCTGGATTGGTTTGGAGTGGCTTGGATTGGTTTGGAGTGGCTTGGATTGGCTTGGATCGGCTGGTTTGGAGTGGCTTGGATTGGCTTGGATCGGTTTGAACTGGTTTGGAGTGGCCTGGATTGGTTTGGAGTGGCCTGGATTGGTTTGGAGTGGCCTGGATTGGTTTGGAGTGGCTTGGATTGGTTTGGAGTGGCTTGGATTGGCTTGGATCGGCTGGTTTGGAGTGGCTTGGATTGGCTCTGGTTTGGAGTGGCCTGGATTGGTTTGGAGTGGCCTGGATTGGTTTGGAGTGGCCTGGATTGGTTTGGAGTGGCCTGGATTGGCTTGGAGTGGCTTGGATTGGTTTGGAGTGGCTTGGATTGGCTTGGATCGGCTGGTTTGGAGTGGCTTGGATTGGCTTGGATCGGTTTGAACTGGTTTGGAGTGGCCTGGATTGGTTTGGAGTGGCCTGGATTGGTTTGGAGTGGCCTGGATTCGTTTGGAGTGGCTTGGATTGGTTTGGAGTGGCTTGGATTGGCTTGGATCGGCTGGTTTGGAGTGGCTTGGATTGGCTTGGATCGGTTTGAACTGGTTTGGAGTGGCCTGGATTGGTTTGGAGTGGCCTGGATTGGTTTGGAGGTGGAGTTGGATTGGTTTGGAGTGGCCTGGATTGGTTTGAGTGGCTTGGATTGGTTTGGAGTGGCTTGGATTGGCTTGGATCGGCTGGTTTGGAGTGGCTTGGATTGGCTTGGATCGGTTTGAACTGGTTTGAGTGGTGGATTGGTTTGGAGTGGCCTGGATTGGTTTGGAGTGGCCTGGACTGGTTTGGAGTGGCTTGGATTGGTTTGGAGTGGCTTGGATTGGCTTGGATCGGCTGGTTTGGTGGCTTGGATTGGCTTGGATCGGTTTGAACTGGTTTGGAGTGGCCTGGATTGGTTTGGAGTGGCCTGGATTGGTTTGGAGTGGCCTGGATTGGTTTGGAGTGGCTTGGATTGGTTTGGAGTGGCTTGGATTGGCTTGGATCGGCTGGTTTGGAGTGGCTTGGATTGGCTTGGATCGGTTTGAACTGGTTTGGAGTGGCCTGGATTGGTTTGGAGTGGCCTGGATTGGTTTGGAGTGGCCTGGATTGGTTTGGAGTGGCCTGGATTGGCCTGGATTGGTTTGGAGTGGCTTGGATTGGTTTGGAGTGGCTTGGATTGGCTTGGATCGGCTGGTTTGGAGTGGCTTGGATTGGCTTGGATCGGTTTGAACTGGTTTGGAGTGGCCTGGATTGGTTTGGAGTGGCCTGGATTGGTTTGGAGTGGCCTGGATTGGTTTGGAGTGGCTTGGATTGGTTTGGAGTGGCTTGGATTGGCTTGGATCGGCTGGTTTGGAGTGGCTTGGATTGGCTTGGATCGGTTTGAACTGGTTTGGAGTGGCCTGGATTGGTTTGGAGTGGCCTGGATTGGTTTGGAGTGGCCTGGATTGGTTTGGAGTGGCTTGGATTGGTTTGGAGTGGCTTGGATTGGCTTGGATCGGCTGGTTTGGAGTGGCTTGGATTGGCTTGGATCGGTTTGAACTGGTTTGGAGTGGCCTGGATTGGTTTGGGTGGCCTGGATTGGTTTGGAGTGGCCTGGATTGGTTTGGAGTGGCTTGGATTGGTTTGGAGTGGCTTGGATTGGCTTGGATCGGCTGGTTTGGAGTGGCTTGGATTGGCTTGGATCGGTTTGAACTGGTTTGGAGTGGCCTGGATTGGTTTGGAGTGGCCTGGATTGGTTTGGAGTGGCCTGGATTGGTTTGGAGTGGCTTGGATTGGTTTGGAGTGGCTTGGATTGGTTTGGAGTGGCTTGGATTGGTTTGGAGTGGCTTGGATTGGCTTGGATCGGATAGAACTGGTTTGGAGTGGCCTGGATTGGTTTGGAGTGGCCTGGATTGGTTTGGATTGGCCTGGATTGGTTTGGAGTGGCTTGGATTGGTTTGGAGTGGCTTGGATTGGCTTGGATCGGCTGGTTTGGAGTGGCTTGGATTGGCTTGGATCGGTTTGAACTGGTTTGGAGTGGCCTGGATTGGTTTGGAGTGGCCTGGATTGGTTTGGAGTGGCCTGGATTGGTTTGGAGTGGCTTGGATTGGTTTGGAGTGGCTTGGATTGGCTTGGATCGGCTGGTTTGGAGTGGCTTGGATTGGCTTGGATCGGTTTGAACTGGTTTGGAGTGGCCTGGATTGGTTTGGAGTGGCCTGGATTGGTTTGGAGTGGCCTGGATTGGTTTGGAGTGGCTTGGATTGGTTTGGAGTGGCTTGGATTGGCTTGGATCGGCTGGTTTGGAGTGGCTTGGATTGGCTTGGATCGGTTTGAACTGGTTTGGAGTGGCCTGGATTGGTTTGGAGTGGCCTGGATTGGTTTGGAGTGGCCTGGATTGGTTTGGAGTGGCTTGGATTGGTTTGGAGTGGCTTGGATTGGCTTGGATCGGCTGGTTTGGAGTGGCTTGGATTGGCTTGGATCGGTTTGAACTGGTTTGGAGTGGCCTGGATTGGTTTGGAGTGGCCTGGATTGGTTTGGAGTGGCCTGGATTGGTTTGGAGTGGCTTGGATTGGTTTGGAGTGGCTTGGATTGGCTTGGATCGGCTGGTTTGGAGTGGCTTGGATTGGCTTGGATCGGTTTGAACTGGTTTGGAGTGGCCTGGATTGGTTTGGAGTGGCCTGGATTGGTTTGGAGTGGCCTGGATTGGTTTGGAGTGGCTTGGATTGGTTTGGAGTGGCTTGGATTGGTTTGGAGTGGCTTGGACCATCTTGGAGTGGCCTGGATCGGCTTGGAGTGGCTTGGATTGGTTTGGAGTTTCCTGGATTGGTTTGGAGTGGCTTGGATTGGTTTGGAGTGACTTGGATCCGTTTGGATTGGCCTGAATTGGTTTGGAGTTGCTTGGATTGTTTTGGAGTGGCTTGTATTTGTTTGGATCAGTTTGGATCGGTTTGGAGTGGCTTGGATTGTTTCGGAGTGGTTTGGATTGGATATGTTTGGAGATTTTGAATCAGCTTGGAGTGGCTTGGATTGATTAGGATCGGCTTGGAGTGAATTAGATTGATCTGGGTGGCTTGGCTTGGATTAGATCGGTTTGGAGTGCCTTGGATTTGGGTAGCGGTGAGTAAATTGGGGGGGGGGGGGAATTCAGAAAAGTGTCCCAAAATTATTCCCTGCCGTGGAAGAATAGAGGGGGAGGGAGGAAAAGCGTCTTATTCGACGCCCAGAAAATGCTGATTTATCGCTAGGTGGCAATACTAAAGCAATACTACTATAACAACTCTAAACCAGTACTAAGCACTGCTTACTGAGAGACTACTTGAGGCCCAACTCTGACCCTCAACTTGGTTAGGTGTCTTCCTATTGACCCCCCAATGTTGTGGGCCTTTACTAACCACTCCACAATGCGCGCACAGTTGCACAGTTGCACAGGTCTGCCCGCCTTTCAAGCCGCCTAAGCCACAGTATACTCGTACACACAACCAACTGGGCACTGTTCCACACCCTAAAAGGCTACATTGACATCTCCGTGAAGCAATGCTTACGCAAAGCCTCCGCCATGCCAAAATGCCTACACCACCACCAATGCGGCGTCAGCTTCCTTTTGGTCTTCTTGCAAACCGACCCAAAAGGAGTACCCTCTCACAAAGAGACACCGCAAAAGATGTACCCAGATGAGCCCGGACAAAATTATCCCATAAGAAGACAAAGGACAATTTGGGTGGGCCCCCTGCATCTTTGGAGCAGGGTTACCAAATCCCCCCTTGCAGCTGAAATTTGCGGGGCCCCACGCCCTCCCGAAAATCGCAACAGACTACCTAAAGATATTGTCGTTTGCTGAGGTAACTCATGTGGGTATGGGTCAAAATTAAACCACCAGGGGACCACAGGTTTTAGTCATTGGTTCCATTTACCAGGGTGCCATTTTGGGTACCTATTTTTGACCCACAGCCATGTGTGGAATCTGCAATTGGGGGTTCAAGGTGTTCCTTCCAGGCTCTGGCAGGAGATTCCAACAAGAACCCAACCCCAAAGGAGCACCCAACCCCCAAGGAACACATCAGTCTGGTCTGGAATCCTTTGGGGGCGTGTCGTTTTGTTTGGAGATTTCAGCAACCCAATGGCGCCAGCCTGCCGCAAGTGCAGGTTGGGCGTGGCGTACCCAACTCGGATGAGTCAGGTGCAAGCAGGACATGGGTGTTTTGTTCGGTTTGAGGGGCCCTTTTCAGGTTGAAGGGAAACCAACGGGAAAACCCACATTCTGGGGCTCCCCCTTTGTTGAAACAAACCCACAAGAGCGCCGGCGACGGGCTTGTCCCAAAATGTCGCATGTCTGGTGTAGCTCTCTCCAGGCAACAGGAATGTGTGATTTCCCTCTTCATCCACCTCGTGTTTTCCCCGTAGCCACGCGCGGGTCAAACCTCCTGGTCACCATGGTTCCCTCAAGAGGTTGTTTAAACTCAGGCATCTTGTGACGGTCTTCTGACGGCGCCTGTGAGCGCCCAAACCCCGTGGTTCTGTCCTTCTATGGTTATAAAGGTCTAGGGCGACCTGATGTTTTAGCCAAGAGCCACCTGCTCAAATGTGAGTTGATCAATATTCCTGGCCCCCAGTTTTGACCATGGGCAACTTTTCCCATTTAGTTGGAAATACATATATATATATATATATATGTATATCTTCTTTTATGATTTTCTTGAATGGGCCTCCTAAAGGGACCTTTTGACCAACCCGATAGCTAGGAATCGGTATTTTTCCACGCCACGCGGGGCCCCGCGCATCGGATGGCACTGACCACCCGCATGAAGGCCACGATGCCGGAGGTCTCCACCTGGCCAGCGCACCGGTGGTTGGTTGGTCTGGCCCCAACCTGACAAAGCTTTGTTCTTCCATGGACCGAACAAGGTCCCCCCCCCCCAAAAAAAAAAAAGACATGCGCTAAAACTACGGATTTCTTGCGGGTGCCATGTTCAATTGGAGAGGCTCCTTTAGGCCACTTTCACATGTTGCTCTGGCAGGCGTCTCCCTCCCAAGTCCTGGAAACCGAGGGGGGCGGGGGCAAAATGGACTTGACCCCTTTCTGGGACCCCCTTGGAAGGCTGCTACTCTTGGCAACCCCTCAATCCCCAATAGGCATATTGTGCTTTCGCTGAACAACAAGGGTGCGCCCGAGGAAAAAGAGAACGGCGGATGTTCGTGAAACAGGCACGCCAAGGCCACCAAGGCCCATCCGGGTGGTTCTGAATTCAGCCGGGTTCCCATCACCAGATTGCAAGCCGGCCGCTGCAAAGGCGACACAACATCTCCCCGAAGCGCCTGATTCCCGATGCTACTCTTGACAGCTGTCAGGATCAAGGGCGTATCCTGCGAGATACGTCGACTTGAGGCTCAGGAAACGGGTTCCCTCTCACCAAACAACCCAAGGCTCACGTCCCAGGCTACCATGTCTTTTTGCCAGCGACTCGTGCGACAGTTGATGGCTCAATACGCTCAATCAGCTCCACTTGATGCGCGGAGCGTGAGCTCAATGCCAAGTTCTAAGCCTCTGCGAGTCCTTCCTATCTTCGTTGCGGTGGGCTCGAACCATGGAACCCACCTGCACAGGAAACGAGCCGTTGCTGTGCGACCCGCCTTGGGAGAGTTGGTCCCAACGCACCAAGAACCAAAGCCTTGCGGTTTAGTCATTTGGCGAGCCAACCTCTCAAAGCTGGGATCCATGAAAGCATGTTCCCCCTTTGCCAACTAACTGCGGATAACGAATCCTGCTTTATCCTAGTAGGATTCATCCATCTCAACTCGTGCCTGGCGAAATGGGAATGTACCGAATCATTCATACGATTAAGCCTAGCGCGATTGACAGAATTCCGTGCCCGTTTTGGTAACTGATGCTGCTTTCAGGGGACCCACACCTGCCACTATATTGGCTCACTGTCACTTCTTGAATCTGGGCAAACTGCGATAAGTCACAAACTGAAAATAAGGGATCCCCGAGAAAAAGAAGACAAACAACATGGGTGATGCAATTTGCCAACTGAAGTCTGAACCGTTCTCCTTCCCGCCAATTGGTTGGGGTCAAACTGATTTGGGCTCTTCCTCAAACGTTGGCCGGGGTTTGAACGGAAACCAAAAGGAAACCGCCCACCTCTGTCCCCGATTTCCGAAATCGTGAACCTCCACAACTTGGGAAGTCCTGGGAAACAAAACCGTACTATGTCCGGCAACGTGTCTAGAAGGGGCGATTTCGCCATCTGAGTCTGACGGTCAAAACTTTTGTCTCCTTTGGTTAGTGCTTCCTATCAACTTCGGCCCTGGTGGAAAGTCCGGATCGCTGTTGTCTAAAACATCTAACTGGTTGACCACCACCCCTAACCCAGTAGTTATCATAGGCCAACCATGTTTGTTGCTGTCAAACCAGAATGCCTGCAACCTTTTTCTTCATGTCCGACCAATGTTACTTGGATTCAAGATCAGCAACGCAAGTTTGCTGATTGCCAACAAAACACCACCAGGCGACCAGCGCAACCCGTGATCAACTAGAAACCCGTGTACATGCTAAGGACCCTGGCTACCTATGTGACCTGCACTACCAACCCCCAAGTGCTGGTTCCGACTAGCCAGGAAGCCTCAAAAAACATGGCACAAAGTAGCTAGATGCGCTAGGCTTGGGGCTTCATCTTTCGACCGGAAGAACGCCTCGATGGCATCTGGCAGGAACGCTCCGGCGCCGTACGCCTCCACTGCGTCCACCTCGCGACTCCAAGTCCCCGAGCGAGGATCGAAGATCCGCAGATTCTGCTCTTGATCCGGCCTCATGATTTTACCAAAGTCCCGCAAAAAAAAGTAGGTTTAAAGGACACAACGCCACTTGGTTGACGTTGGGAAAGGGAGCAAAAAGATAAATTTTAGCAGTTAAGTGGGGATTTCCCACTAAACCACAATAAGCAAAAATGTCAAATGCTTCCCAACAACAACCATGGCCAGCTGCTGACTTTGACAACCCCAGGAACAGTCCAATCATGACCCTAGTTGATGGGGTGATCTATTCAATCAGAGTAATATCGACCTGTCACACCCCACTATAATCCCAGGTCCCATAATTTTCCAAACAAGCATGGCGGCATGGAGGTGTGTGCGGCTTTCGCATGCTCAAACTCACATACAGTGTTATGCACGTAACCAAGACTTCCTGCGCAACGCTCAATGGCGGCGAACCCATGATGAGAAGTCACAGCGGCCTGCGCGTTCAGCCCTCACAAGACTGCCCACACCCACACAGATCATGCTGCCACGAGGCAAGAAGCCAAACAAGCCAAAAACTAAGAAGCCAAGAGGCCAAGAAGCCCCAAGAAGCCCCAAGCAGCCCCAAGCAGCCCCAAGAAGCCCCAAGAAGCTACACAGCCAAAAAGCCAAAAAAGCCAAAAACCGAGAAGCCAGGTGGAGAAGCAAAATGCCAAACTGCACTCTAAACGAGAAGTGTCCTAATCCCGAACTCTGCGTCATGCCAACATTTCCGTATCAAAACGGGGACAAAAACAACAACAAGTCTCCTGGATGAATGCCAAAACAGGGCTTCTGAAGAGACGCCCCTTTTTGCGGAGAGGAGACGCCCCAAAATGACGCGTCCCAAGTTCGGGAACTTCCTTTTGCATGTTCGAAGGCCAAAAGAAAATCAACCAGTTTTGCGAGTCCCCCGTTTTGGATCCATGTGTTTGGGCTTCCAAAACGCCCTTGCCAATTGAACCCAAATCAATATGGCCATTCATGTTGGTGTGGAACCCCTCAAAAGTGGTGGTGGACATGAATCCCATGTCCACTAAAGGGCCCCCAATGAAAATTCATGCCCATCTGTTTCCCTATGACACCCAGCATATGGGTCAAAAAAAAGTGTTTGAGGCGCAACCAAACCTCGGATAAACGCAACCATCCTTTGAGGCCTCTCGCCCAGAACCCACACCCTGTTTGAACACCTATTGCTTACAGAAACGCTGGGTTTCTTGGGGACCAAAGGCCGACTGCTTCAAAGCAAAGTGTGCAACCCAAAACAAAAGCCACGTGCAACCAAAAGACAGCAGAGAAAAAACAGAAACAATGCGAACAAAAACCATGTGTTCGTTTAAAGAACAGGTAGTTGTTTGAGTCCTTGCCCAGCTCAAGGTTTCACACTGAGCCGCGCGCATCCGCCGGCACGATGCTGGCGTTCTGAATGGCCTCGGCAACAACCTCCTGCTCCGCGGGGCCTCGCAAGGGCAGTGGCCCAGGCCCCGTGCCTGGTGGAGCACTGGAAGGCATTGCTAAATGAAAATCAGGCCACGAAACCAAATAAATCCGAGCAAGTAACCAGGTACCAAAATGAAACTCGGCCTAGCTAAAAGCAGCGGGGAATCCATGTATTTTCAAACTGACCGTTCAGACACCTGCGCAGGGACATGATGTTCATGGCAAAACCACAGAGGCAGTGCCCAATTGTTGTGGAAATCCAACAGAGACCAATAATTATGCCCTGTACAACCCACCTGCCCGCTTTTGGGCTGGTGGTGTTTTTTTCTTTTTTTTGGGGGGGGGACCCTGTTGCTGTGCGCCTTAATTTTAGAGCCGTACTCCAAAGACATTTCTGCTAGCAATCATTACTTCAGAACGGTCCTCGGCAGCTTGCTTTGAGCGTTTGAAACCATCCTCGCAAAGGATGCCCGAATCCCCGAGTGTGCCATGATCAAAACTCGCCCATGGTTCCCTTGAGTTGACAACAACCCTGAGCATGGTCTAAGGATCAATGACCATCCCAATGTGACTTTGAGCCATAGGAACTCAATCCATGACCATCCCTACCAACATGTGATTTGACCACGTCTTCGTGTCTTGGGATATGGCTCAAGCGAAGCAAAAGATGGTCTGAGTCTCAGGCCATGGGGCGCCGACAGACTCGCGCCCTTACCTCGTTCGACCGGCGCCGGGAATTGGTGGCGCAACCAACAATGACAATGAGTCATTATACATTCAATACAAAAATGGATGCACACACGGATGGATAGATTAGACTACACCATATTAGATTAGATTCGGTTGGATCAGGTTAGTTTAGGTTGGATTAGATAGAGATTGATTGATTGATCGATTGATTGATTCCTTCATTCATTGATTGGCTGGTTGGTTGATTGCTTGACTGCTTGATTGTTTGATTGCTTGATTGCTTGCTTGATTGCTTGATTGCTTGCTTGCTTGCTTGCTTGCTTGCTTGCTTGCTTGCTTGCTTGCTTGCTTGCTTGCTTGCTTGCTCATTCTTTTGCTCAGTTGTTTGCTTGGTTGTTTGTTTTGTTGTTTGCTTGGTTGATTGGTTGCTTGCTCCAGCGGTTGCTTGCTCAGCTGTTTGCTTGCTTGTTTGCTTGGTTGTTTGCTTGGTTGTTTGCTTGGTTGATTGGTTGCTTGGGCGCTTGGTTGGTTGGTTGAGATAGACAATAGATGGAATGGATACATAGACCGATCGATCTGGATAGGCAACTCAGCAGATAGACAAATAAACAGATAGCCAAATAAACAGATAGACGGACAGACAGACAGACAGACAGACAGACAGACAGGCAGGCAGGCAGACAGAAACAGAGACAGAGACAGAGACAGAGACAGAGACAGAGACAGAGACAGAGACAAACAAACAAACAGAGACAGGCAGACCGACAGAGACGGACAGACAGAGACAGCCAAACAGATATAAGCAGATAGATAGATAAATGGATAGATAGATAGGATAGAAAGGATAGATAGCATTGGAAGGATAGGCTAGGATAGGATAGGATGGGACGAGTAGGATGGGATAGGATAGACTCATACGATAGATAGAATAGATAGGATAGATAAGATAGCTTGGATAGCTGGGATAGATAGAATAGACAGGATAGACAGAATAGATATGACAAATAGGATAGACTGTACAGGACTAATATGGCACAAACACATTGTATATATATATATATATATCCTCGTATATACATATACTAATACTTAAGTCCAACAAATATTCAGTACACCCCCCAAATAGCCGGTAGCCGTAATCATCTTGCACCCAGCAACACCCTGGCAGCTTCCATGAATCACCCTGCACCTCGCACCACCCCCAGACCGCGAATTAGCACCCACTTGTATCAATGCGTTCTTGGCCGAATTGTCGGTTGATGGGTGGCATCCAAAGCGCGCTTTTTACGGCGGGCCAGGCAGTAGACAGTGGGAGGCTAAGCGCCAGGCCATTGTTGTTCATCATGGCGCCGGCAATCGACCCCAGCGGCTCTTCCTGGCGATTCGTCAATGGCCAGGCGTTAAGTCTGCGCCGAGTCAAAACCTGGCGCAGTTCGACTCAAACTCAGCACAGGATACTCAGGACACAGGGCCATGTTGGGGTTGGGTTTCGAAGTGGGTTGTTACAACTCGGGTTTCGAAGGCACCGATGTTGCGAATTGCCGGGGCACACACCCTCGCCCCAATGCAATGGGAGCCAGCTGAGTGCTTTCGCCCGGAAATCACCCATGTTTTACCAACATGCTTAAGGTGTATGCTGGCCTCACTATCTCTGTAGTAGAACCACCTGGAGAAAAATTGTCAAACATATACACCTTTTAAACAACACTCACCCCCGCACTAGCAGGTTCTTCCTTTCTTGGCCGTTTTTGGGGAGGGGCGGACCCGGAATCGGCACTAAGGGTTTCTTTCTAACCCGATGAGCACCCCCTCTCTGCCCTCGGGTTCTGCTAGGGTGACAGTGCCCGCTGGCTGGTTTTTGCCGTTTCGGCTGAGGGGCAGCTGTGGCAGCCTCTCTTGTCTTTTGTTTTTGTTTCTGGCCTTCCCCGGTGTGTGTGTGTGTGTGGGTTGGTGTCTGCTTTGCTGCTTCTCTTTCCTCTCCTCTTTTCTTCTTTGTCTCCCCTCTCTTTCTTCCTCTTTTGGCCGTGTCTTGCTGGGTTGTGGGCCCGGGTGTGACCCCGAGTTCCCTTCTTTCTCTTTGGCTGTCACTGCCCCCCCTCGGCGCACTGGCCGTGCTGCGCGTGCGATCACTCCAGGGTGTTACTGCTGGTGTGCGCCGGCAGCGGGCCCCTCTAGGTGTGACTCCGCAGGCTTCCGTCTTCTTGCGTGTGTAGCCGGTGTGATCCGGCTGCCCCCCCCCGTACGTGTCTGGGTGTCTTGGAAGGGGTCAGCCACCTTGCTTTTGTGTCGTTGCAGTCCGGCGGGTCTGGATGCGATCGTTATGACTGGGGCAGGCACTGGGCCGATGCCTCTCCGCCCTCGGAGCCGACGTTCTGAGGGGTTCCTTTCCTTTTCTGTTGTTTGTTTTGGTTCTTCCTCGCCATCGTGCAACTCGGCCGCATGGGCACCCAGAAGCTGGCGGTGAGGCCTGCTATGACGTTTGCCGTGCAGTGCCGTTGACCCGACAGTGGAGGGACTGCTCGGACCGCAGAGAAGTTTACTTCTCTGTAGGTCGCCCTCCAAACCAAACCCAAACTAAACAACACTCACCCTGCATACTAGAACGGCCAGTGGAGGTTTTGGGAACAAACAAACTGAAACCGAATAAAATGAAAGCCAAACAACTGGACACCTTCTGAAAACCCGCAAAACCTCCTAGTGTTCGCTCGGGTATATCTTAAAAATCATCAAAAATCCCACCGGTGCCGCCGGTGTCCTCACTGGTGACGTACTTGCCGTCCACCAGCTGGCTGGAGGCCTGCGGAGAGTTGGCGGGCCCTATGTTTTGAATCTGTTTCAGAGGGAAGCCCAAAGGAACCCTAAGACCCATGTACGCACTGCTCAATACACCGAATAGAAGCATGACCATTACTTGACCATGGCACAGTTGGGTGCGGTTCTGGCAGAGTGCCTCAACATAAGTGACACAGGCTCAACTATGTTACAGCTACATTATCCACTTGAATATTACCCCCAACATGGTCTCGTGGAAAGAAAGGTGATATGGAAAAATGGCCGAAGCGGGTATCTGTTAAGGAGCCGCCCAAGTACCCTCCAACAATCATGGAAGTTGACAGAGGGTCACTTGTACTGCAGTCCTTTAAAGACACCCTTGTCAGCTTCTATGATTGTTGGAAAAAAGGGCGTGGAGTGGCGCACAGGTTGTGTGGTCAAACATCCGAACATGTTGGTCATGGTCATAGCTCCCTTAGGTGTTTTGACCAAGGGGTTACCGTGGCAGCAAGCCACCAAAACAAGCGCTTGAGGTTTGCACGGCGCCTTCAGCGTCACAGCTGCCACTCCGTCTCCACGGACATAACCACTCTGGGCGCGGCAACATGTTCATCAGGGCTCCCTTTCTTTCCCCCAACATCACACCAAGAGGAAACAATGAGAGCTTACATCAGGGTAATTCAGCAAGATGGGTCCAAAAAAGCCAACGTCCTAACAAAAAGCCATGTCAAATCTGGCTTAGCCACAAGCGACATTTTGGGACCCCTGTTTCTGGCCGAGTCTACCAATGGACGCAAATCGGGCCTTTGGCCTTAGGACCCTGCAAGCTGCAGGCGTGCGAAGCTTCGCAATACATTCTTGACATCTCCGGCACAAATGTGGCAAGCATACATGGGGCGTTTCAGAAATGGGCACCATTTTTTGCACGAACCTTGAGGAAAACCAAAAGTAGTTTGGATATTGTGTCAAAATAGGGCGTCTCGTTTGGCTGCTCCCTTAAACCAAGGTTGAAAGGGGCACCTTCCAAAACACACAAACCTTTTGGAGAAACGGACACACCCCCTCCACCCTGCCGAGGCATGGACTGCCGAGGCATCAAATGTCAAGCACCGGCCAGTCGCGCAGAGCCAGCCTGCGCACTCGCTTTGGGAAGGCAAGATGACCTACCCGTTTCGCTTTTAATACTGTGGATGGACGAAATCCTGCACCACCTAAGGATCCCTGGTTTAAGATGACTCCCCTGCAAATACCAACCAGCCATGGTTTCTCATGGTTTCAAGGCTTAATACTGTGGATGGACGAAAACCACTTCGCACCACTTGGAAACCATGGGAAGCCCTTGTTTGTTGGAATTTACACGGGAATCATCCTTCCAGAGTTTAATAGATGATGCAGGATTTCGTCCATCCGCAGTATTAAACAGGGCAAACAGGGAGCACGGGCCCCTTGTTTGACAAATGGTTGATACCGCATGAGCAAACCCACTGCCCCTTTGGTTCCACGGAGATGGTTGTAATAAAGAACTTGTTTCTTGACCTTCCTGTAATCCCATCAGACCAAGTAGTAGAGCCAACAGGGGTTTGTGCACGGTTCAAATGATCCGCGGTGTGGTGGTACCCCTATTTATTTTGACACATACCCAAATATTGACCGTTGCTCAAATCTACTATAATTGCCAACATGGCGCTGGTTCTTTCCGACATGAAGACTCAACCAATCGAGCGCAGCTGAGTGCATGACCAGATGCGCACTGGGAGGGCCACCAAATCTGGCGTGCGCAGCTCAGTGAGCCCGAAATCTTGTTGGAAAGCGTTGCGGTGGCATCTCATGCAACCATGAGGTTGTTGGTTGTTAGTGTTTCCACATGTAGCGCGAATGGCCGGTTCATGGTGGCTCTGCTTTCACAATCAAGCAAAAGGAAGTTTCCAGCTGAGAACAGCCACATGAATCAACAGGCTTCCAACTGGTTCAGGATCGGCAGTGTCCTCGCTCACTCTCCGAGACTCTGGCCGCAGCTAGCAGCAAGTGGGCCGCAATGGCAACTGAAAACTCGTTCGGAGTGGCGCGTCCTGCACAGTGCACGGCTCGCCGCGCAAAGGATTGCACAGAAATGCTTTGCGAGTCGAGCCAGTTCCCACAGCCGAACATTCCTGATCAGTGATGCGTCCCGAATTCATGCGTCCCGAAGGGTGTCCAGTCAGGAAGGAAACCCAACCAACGGGGAGTCTGATTCATAAGGACGATGAATCAATCAGGCGTTGACTAGTTGACTTTACGCACTTGTTTACAAATACTGTGCGTGCACAAACTAAACTGCCTATTGGCCTTCTCAGGGTACTCGGTGTGCTCAGGCCGCGTGCTCAAGTCACAAGGGCTCGGTGGCCAGAGTCCCAGATTTCGACTCTATGAAGCCGCCCACTGAAATCTGGTCCACCGTCCAGCAAATGTGCATAGGGAAAAAATGGCAAAGAGTGGCACTACTCCAAGCCCGGGCATATGAGCTGCTCCATGTGAACCGTCCAGCAGATGTCCATGGGAAAAAAAAAACGGAAAAGAACTGGCCCTGGCTTGGTTGGCACCCAAAATGGTTCCCTTTAAGCCAAGCCCAAAAAGGGTACACTGAGAAAACAGACCCAGGGCGCAACCCATGGGCTCCTTTGCGCTGAACTGCTTCGGCTCCCAGGTAGATGGACGTGGCCTGACCGGCACGCCCCCCCCTTCGGGGCCGAGAAATGGGGATCACCCCCCTGCATATTTACATGGAACCCGAAGAAAAACTGGGATAACCTCTTGCAAACAGCCATGGAACCAAACAAAACCTACTGCGAAGTGGATTTTGCGCAGCGGTGCCCTCTGGCCTGACCCTGAAACCCATCCTTTTCCGAGTCTGGCAAAGATGGACACCCCATAGTCTTCCCTTTGTCGCTAGACTAACACCAGCCAAATGTTTCCGTGTGAACAAGGAGAGTCACACCAATATGAAAAAAGGCCCGCGTTTGCAACCCAAAAAATCGTGCCGCCTTTCAGAGTTCACCAAACTGCTCCTTCCTGGATAGAAACCCCGGAGTACTATGCTGGTTGATTAATAGGCCGGTGTCCCTGTTTAGCGGGAATTCTTCGCTTTTGTTGGAGACAGCAGCCCCACCCCCTTTTGGTACTCAAGTAGCAGAGCGTGTGAAGCCATACTTTGGTGCAGAGCTGCGTCCCGTTCAGAGCATGGCGCCGTGGTACAACCCACACGTTGGCTTTCGGGTTCAGGGTTTGAGGCTTCGGGTTCAGGGTTTAGGCTTTGGCTTCAGGTTTAGGGTTAGTTTGGGGTTTAGGCTTGGGGTTTAGGTCTAGGGTTTAGGTTTTTGGTTTAGGGCTTAGGTTTTAGGGCTGGGGTTAGGGACTAGGTTTTGTCGCCGGTTCTGGGCGCAGGCAACTGCCAGGGGTCCCGGCACCAGATGATGCATCCGTGTCGATGGTCATACCTGCCATATCCCACGCACGCGTGTTGAGGAGTGCGTGCCATGGCTGGACAGCCTGCGGCTCAACAATTCAAAATGTAATGGTCACGAATGGGTTCTACCTGTGGGGTCACAGTACACCCCATCTAGATTTCTAAGTCCAATCGCACATGGAGCAGTCTACAGGGATTCCGCTACATGTCCTGCAATACGTAGGGCATCACTAGTAGGAAACGATTGGAACTTGGGACTCCGCTCCCACTTCAGACTGTCCCAGGCACATCACTGGCGGGGATTCCGGAAACCCGCAATAGTAATATTGACTCCCCCTCGCCCCCAAAAAATGCTCGCTTTAGGCACTCAGTGCGACTCAGGTGGCAGTCCCAAAACCAGCCGGGCGAGCTCGGGCCCTTCAGACCCAGCGTGAAGGAGAATCGCCTGGCCGACGGACGTTGTGGCATATGACCCTTGCGATTCCAAATGGGATTCCCATCCTTGCTACTGCGTGGAGTCCCTTGGTATCACAGAAGTGGCAACCATTTCTTGTTTTGTCTCTTGAAAAGTATTTCGGCGAGGGTGCGTGTTGAAAACTGGGGGCTCGCCGTGTTTGTGCCTTGGAAGGAATCCGAAGGCTGGCGCTCCATGTGAAAGGGTCCAAGTCGGCCACTGCTGCCTTACCCCCCCCCCCCCACCCACCTCCACAAACATCATGGGGGATGGTTTGCAGGAAAACGTGCAAGCAAAACAGTTTCGATGCCCTTTCAATAGCGCTCGCTCGCTCGCCTTTGTGCTAATGACGTGTGGCTTGCGGTTCGCCGTTGTGCCCCCTTTGCAACCGAAAGACGCGTTGCTCCGGAAACCGGGTTGCGTCGAAATCCCCGGCACGTAGAAAAGTTGGCAAGCCTGAAGAGGGAAATCCAAGGAAACCGTTCACCAAGTTTCTACCTTTGAGGTTTTGCTCATCAGGCCAAAGGAGGAACTTTGAATCAAAGGTCCTTTTGGGACCTTCACTAAAGATGGCCACGGGGGAGGAAAAGGACCCATCCAATCCCGGAACAAACCAGATAACTGGAAGAAACATACATCAGCCCCCCCGATTTTGGGACAAAAAAAAAACGAGACAAAACAGGGCAACATTTTGGGACAAAACCCGAGGCAAAAAGGGGGCACACCACGACTTTTGGGACAAAACCCGAGGCAAAAAGGGGGCACACCACGACTTTTGGTTTAATGAAAAACAAAGTCGCAACTATAGGTGTCTTTTTGGTTGTTTTGGTAGACAAAATAGATGGCCCTGATTCTACCTGGTGGTTTAATCCCATCTATTTTCCCAAAAAAGACACCTATGCTTGCAACGGTTTCCGCTTCCCGGGCTCAGGCCGCGACCCTGAGCTGATGGACAGAGCTCCGCCGGTGGCGGCAAAGGCACCCTGGTCCTGGACGAATTGGTGGTGAGGGTGGGTGGAGGGGAGGGGGGGAGGGGGCTGGCTGTTTGGCGTCCAAAAATACGGCAACCATGTAACCATCCAACCATGTAACCATCCAACCACGTAACCTTGTAACCCTGCAACCCTGCAACCCTGCAACCCTGCAACCATGCCCAAAGGCCAAAAGCTCCAACTTCTTGGCTGAGGCACACAGCTCAATGTTGGAATGCGGGTTCCATTGTTTCACTACTTCATGGTAGACTTGAACCCGCAGTCCAACAATGGAACTCTGGAACCATGTTGGCATCTCCTGATCGCGAGGCACCATGGACCACCTTGGCTGAAGGCGCAATCCGTCAACGATGTCACCCCCAAAAACTGCGAGCTGCATACAAGCGCGACGCGCATCTCTCCGTGGTGTTTCACAATAGTGGGGTGGGTTGCAAAGGGGGCTATAAACCTTACTAAAGCTTACTGGGTTTTTGAGGTCCCAACCGAGAACGGCACCTGGTCATCTCTCCATTCTATGTTTACAATAGAGAAAATCACCAAACGCACCCATCTCTCCCTTCCATGTTTACACTGTTTCAATGCCGAAAATGAGGACCTCCCATCCAAAAACACGACCCTCGTGGCTTCACCGCTCGTCGTGTCGGATCTGTCGAGCTGCTCCACATTGCCGCAGCCCACGTAGACGCCGCAGGCCGAGTTCACCAGGGTGTTCTTCCTTTGGCCTCGCAGCCATTCGAACTGCAGCGAAGCCCAACGACTCGTCGCACCTTTTGGGTTTTCCCATGGGTTTCCCTTCAGGGATCCTTACATACACCTGAACATTGCCTGGTAAATGGTGGGTTCCCTTCATGTTGGTGGAAAAAGCAACATGTTTCAAATGGGCAAAATGTATCTTTTAAGGAGCCCTGGATAGATCAACCTGAAACAGGTAATTAACCTTAAGAAAACCGCTTTTGTTTTCAATCAGAGATGTGCCCCATGGTCTTCCCTCTAGTTTCCCTTTGCATAAACCAGAAACGGGTACCCTTGAGAAAAGCAAAAAAACTGACTTCCACAAATGCACTGCGCAACTGAGCGAAGCGCCCATGTTATAGAGCGCTTCGTAGCCTACTTCTAGGATCAGTCGCTGGTGCCTGGCATGCACGCAATTGACTCGACCAACTCTTTGCTGTCTGCGCAACAACTGGGCCCAAAAAGTGACGTCCGATGTGTTCCTGTATGCTGTGTTACTGGACATCGGCCACATATGTTGTGAGCCCTCTCTCGACCAAAGCAAGCCGGAGTCTCGGATCCATAGATTTTGCCTGCGCATCGCCCGCTGCCGGGGAAAGCTTCGCAAGGAACCAGGATTAGCTCTGCTATTGGTCCATCCTTTCGGCACAGGTATGAATCACCAACCATTTTGGGAGTGTTTCCCCTTGAGGACTGCCCCAGAAGCTTGCTTAGCGCTTTCAGAGAACATCGCTGCATAGGTTCCATGCTCCACAAAGATTATATACGCAAGACTGGCTTGCACATCTTTGCCCCTCCTGAGTGTGCTGGAAAAAAGCTTCAAACACTCGTGATCGAACATGGACGTGGCAAAATCGGGCAATTCTGCAGGTGGCTGATTTACATCAGTGTTCCTTCGATCGACCAAACCGGCGGGGGGGGGGGGGAGGGAGGGGGGAGTTGGAAACTTGGAACACAACATCCGCTTGCCGCTGCTCCTTCGAAGGGTGGTTGGGTCTTAACACTTGGAACACAACTGCAAAAGGTATAATATGTCCACAACATGAATTCAGGGATCCCAAGTAAGGGACCATCATGGAGCTCGTGTTCCCCCCAAGGATGCTCGCCATAAAATTTGAACAAACAACCTGCGCTTGCCGCTCGCCTCGTTGGGCGACATGCTGAACATCTTGCAGTCGAACAGCTCGATGCCGTCCATGAAGCTGCCGTGCTTGCCTGAGATCAAGCCCGACAAGAGCGCCCCAAAAAAGACAAAGGAACCCACAACATGTGCGGAGTCGCACCGTGAGACGTTGTGGGAGTTGCAAACACCCGTCTGTGTGATATCAATGGAGGGCCTTTCCAAAACGCTAATTGTTTTGTGGGAAGAAACCCATCATTCCCGCCATTTGTCTTTGAAAACAACCCGAAAAAAGACAGAGGACGGGCGGGCTTGCAAGTTGGGACGAAGGGACGAAGGGCGGACAGAAAACCCCTGTAGCATCTCTCTTGCCGCATGTATTGCAGCTTGAGGAGCAGTAGGACTTGAAATATCTCCAACTTTCTGGATCTGGATCGTAGATTTCCTGCGCAAACTCGGGCGAGGCATAGACTCTACATGACGGGCATGCTCAAAGCACATATAGGACAGCCAAGGGAAGAGTTTGCACGTGTTCTTGGTAGTACCTCTGCAAATGTGCGCGCACACACACACACACCTCTGATACCCGGTCCTCGTTGTGATCCCACCTGTCGAGCGTTTGACAGCTCGCACAATCATGAAAAATGAATGTGCATAGATGACTCGCGTATCATTCAACACTCTGAGTTTGCCGATTGAAGTCTTCCCCATCATGCCTGTCGGACTACAACAGTGAAAAAACTTGCCAAACCGGATGTTTCCAGGGGGTTCTAGACAAGTTGAACATGTGTTCCATCCCTTTTGGTTCCCTTCAGAGAAAAGATACGTTGTACTAGCTCTGTGGGCGTCTGTTTGAATAGGGGGACCGTAAAAAAGATGTGTCAGTTCCTTCCGGCGCAACCCCAAAAGGGGGTACCCTTTAAGACACAGAACCTCATTTCGTGCCCCGCAAAGTGCCAACAGGGGCCAAATGTACGTCTGCCGATGCTTTCGCCGCTGCGACGTCGCAGCGGTGTGTTGGAACTCCTAGTGTCACTTTGGCTTCCAACTTGAAACCTAGCCCCCAAGCCGCAACAGACACCAAGACCGAACTAAGAGGGAAACCAAACCAACCTGCAGAAAAGGGCGGGCCCCACGCCGAGCCCGCCCTGGAGGCCGGAGCTGCGGAAGGAAGCCCGGATCCAGCCTGATGCGCGGGACCTCCGTTGGATAGTCCGGGCCGAAGGTCGTGGCCAAGCAGAACCTCGGGAAGGCTTCGGGCCCCAAGGGGCTTTGAACTTGCTGGTGCGATGAGTAGGGAATGTGGGAATGACCCTTATGAATCATTTAACTGGTGGTTTCCTTAAGGAAATCCCCAGATTCATTCCCTCATTCCCGACTTATTGCACCAGCAAGTCAACCCTGTTACATGATTCACAACATATGCATTCTGGGAGGGGATCCGAAATGGACAAAATGCGCATGTTTCATGTTTCATGTCCACCAAGCACTTTGGAGGGGGTGTATTGAAATTATTATCTAAGCCTGAAAAAAAAAAAAACTCCCTTTGGTCCCGCTGAGGTGGTAAACCTGTTCAAGGCATACCACTTTATGGAAGGGGTACTGCGTGCCCCTTCCACCACCAGCTCACTGAGTGGACCGCACGACTTGTTTTGAGGGTACCCCTTTCTGGGTCAGCTGTTTCAAAGGAAGACAAGAGAGAACCACCCTTGTTGGGGCTTCCTCTTTCGCGCCGCTGGGGAATCGAGGCGAGACAAAGCCTGTTTTTGTCGACGAAAACCAGCCCGCACAGACATTTGTTTTTGGCAAGATCTTCAGACAGGGGTCCAAAAGCAAATTCATCAGGTTTCAAAGACTTTGTGACGCATTAAGCCGTCTCCGACGCATGGCAGAAGGAAATCAAGTGGAGATCAAATCCATCTCATGTCTCAAAGCCCAAAGCTCCACAAAACTTCCTCCTCGATAAGGAGCACGCAAACAACGGGTCGATTTTTGTTCGATCCCAGCGGCGTGTCCGGGGAGTCGGAGGCGGGAAGCTTACAGGCCTGCGTCGGGGTGCATTAGATAGGCACTGGAAGGTGCTGGCTGGTTCTGCAAATGAACTATTTCAGGGTGGTTCTGAGGATTCTGGGGTCCAACAATCAGCCTCAAATGCAGAGCTATCCCTATGAACCACTGTGAACCAGTAATGGCTTCTATGGCTAGTGACGGCTCTTGTCTAGGTATGAGATCATTTATTGGCGGAACCCAAAAAAAAACAAGCAGTTTTAGAGTTGGAGCAATCTCCTTTGGCCACCCCGCGCTTTTTGAGTCTACGCGAACTTGCCGAAAACTGTGCATCACTTGTTGTGATCCTGTTGAAAGGCTTCGAGGCATCACATGTTTGACGGTCCATGTGCGTGACAATTGTAAGCCCCCCCCAACCCCCCCCCCCCCCCCGGGCGGTTTTTTTTTTGCAAACCCCCCGCATATTATTGAATGGAATGGAAGCTATACCTCGACATCTCTCTTACCAAAGCCACCTGTCCCCACCATTGACAAAACAAGTCCGCCAGTGTGGATGCGCTCTGTGGTTCGCCTTGCCAATGGCTCAAGGACTTAAGTCTGGGTCTAGCAAACATATCAAGGTGGATATTTGCTGTCCCCAAACCAGGCATGACCGATGGGAGTTCTGGGTTCAAGTGAGAAACCTGGGCAAGGTTGTCCCTGGGAGGAAAATCCGGCTCTGAGCGCAACAGGAATCCAGCCTCGCCCTTCACCGCAATCATCTGACCCTTGTGAAACCTCAGAAACCGCCAAAGCTCATCCGCGTGGCTGGGAAGCAACAGCCGACATCGCACATGCTTTTTGTTTGCTGCCCCCCCATTTCCTCCATCCAACTGATCTCGGGGCTTCTCCGTGAGTTCCACGGGCCCATGGACCAGAGAAATGACTTGCCGACAGTGGGATCCCTTGGTCACAAGGCCAACTCTGGCTTCAATATGGTAGCCAGAAACCACAGGTTCCACTGTTAGAATACAGTTCCGTCCAGAGGAAACTTCTGCACTAGGGGGGGTTCAAATTTTGAATGGAGGGAAGGGATGAGTGGACGGTCGGGTACTCATAAAGATAGCCATGCACGCGGATCAAATGATCAAAGCAGGTCTCTCTCGACCAAAAAAAAGATACGCGGCTCGAAGCTTGGCTCTGCGCATGTGGTTCATCGCACTTTGCCACTCCCGAGGGATGTCTGGATCCCAGAACCTCGGATAGGATCTTTAGCTTCGCGCTAAACAAGCTCTGGGTGTAGACAGCACACATCCCTTGCGAACTAAAGGGCATGACTAAACCAAAATGAGCCAATTTCGCCCAACTCTAAACCTTATAATAACATTGGGCAGCCTAATGTGATTACAAGCAACAGTATGCCAACATCCCCCCTCCCCCCCCCCCCCCGGAAAAAAAAAAAAAAAAGTCTTGTAACCTTCGTCAAATCAACCATCTCGCCTTGCAGCTCTTGCTGCCAACCAGTCTTCCTTTGTTAGGGTACATTTTCTGGGATGCATTAAAAGGGAACCAAAGGGAAGACGCCTCGCTCTCCAACGAAAAAAGCAACATGGGCACGGGGGGTCCGCCACTTTGAACCCCACAATCGGCGTGTGGATAGTCAGGTTTTTGGTGTTTGCCCTCTGCGCTGGGCATTCAATGGCTGCAGCCAGGGATCTGAGAGTTGAGATTCTTCTCTTTCAGCTCCTGCGATGACAGCTGTCAAGATCACTTCTCTTCAGATATTATTTGGAGGGTGAGGGAAAAACAAAACCAACTCGCAGCCGTCAAGATCTTTGGATTTTGGAGGCTGAGGTCACAAACCAAACAACCCGCAAATACTACTGGCAATGGGAAGCTGTTCTCTTTCGGGAACCTCAAAGGCACAGCCATACCCCATGTCATATGTATTACATGTAGCTAACTGTGAATTTTGACAGTGGCTCGCATACAAGTCGCTGGGGAGTCGAACCCTTTGAATCGGCCGAGTGCGACGTTCTCAAGATCGCCCAACCGTGTCCGTTGACTGGATGCATCAAAGTGGCATTCTCAGAAAGACCCTCCAAACCTGGCTTCAAGGGAAACCACCCTTTTAGTTGAGAGAACCCCTCAGACTCAGAATTTCAATCACTTTAGGGGATCCAGTTTGAAAGAACCCAGTTTCCTATGCACCGCCGAATCTTCGGCCGTGCCCGTGCCAGTTGGCACCAGTCCCGAAGGCGATTCACGGTCCAATCCTGAGCAGTTCACTGCCAGAATGCTACCGGGAAGAAACCATACCCATGACGTCGCGTTTGAAGACATACCGATCTGTTCAAACAAGGCTCCGTATGGCGGACGACCTTGCCTTTCAACCATCCCTACATCGACACCAAAAAATGACGTGTGCGTGTATGTGTGTGTGTGTGTGTGAGTGGTCCTTCTTTTGAGCTATTGCAGCGCCTCTCTCCTACACCTGTGTTGGCGCCCCGAGCTGTTCCAAAACTCATAAGAAACCGGCTCCACGAGGTTCCCCAATTCTGCGAAGTTCCTTCTCTTTGGCTGGCCAAGAATTTGGCGAACAAACGCCCCCAGCATTCCAAGTACACCAACCACACTCGACCACAAAGCCAGGGGTAGCTAACATACAGGAAATCGGGAGTTCCCTCAATTGCCGGGCTTTTAGAGGGCCCCCAATCCGGCAGCATGTGCAGCTGATTCTCCTACAATGGAAATCTACGGAGCTTCACCTCAGTATGTGTCAAACCAAAAGAGATTGATGTTCACCTAGATGTCCCTTTTCAGCTCGCCTGAAAATGGCACTCGTTCAAACATGAAATAGAAATAGAAACTATAATAGTACTAATACACGAAAACGCACCGAGAACAAGGGTTCTCTGCAAGGGAACCATGGTCCAATTACTGACCCCATGGCCATGTAATGGGTAAACTTTGACCATGTCACACATTTGACTCACTTCCCTTGCAAAGTCTGAGACCCCGGCGTCCAGCTCACGCGCTGCTGGGACCATCTTGTCAGACCTCGCGAAAGCGCAAGGCCGAAAGAAGCCACCAACAACGGCAAAAGAAAAAACAAGAGCCCGAACAGCGGGTCTTGCCCACAAAACACAAAGCAACCAAACAAGGAGTGGATCACACGTCTAAGCCAACAGCTGCGCAAAGAAGAACAAACTATACACAACTATGGCCCGGCATGGGCCAAGTCGTCCAAAACGCGAGCCAGTTCACAAGCACATGCGGCACCTATGTTGGAGTCTAGCAAAGGGGTGGTGTTTGCCAGAGAAACCAATGGAAACGGCCAAAAAATGAGGGTTTCTCAACTTGGGGACGAATCCTCAATTCCTTTGAAAGGAGTTCCGTATTGTCTGCATGCGCTCGCGAGGTGAAGTAAACGTGAAATCGCTCAACTCTTGTCCCGGCCTTTTCGTTCTTCTGGCCTTGCGATCGGCCTGCAAGAAAAAGGAGCTCATCGCCATTGACCGCCCATTCCTCAGCAGACTCGGCGCCTTTCTGGAACGAATTCCCATCCCACGCTGTCACTGAGGATACCTTTGGCACAGAAAGTGGCCCTGCCCAACTTGTTCACAACAAAAGTACCTCAGCGCTCGTTCTACCGCGCACTTGAGTATGGCACGAGTAGTGCTTGTGCGACAGGATGTCTGGACGCAAAACCTCGTGGCAAACCGATGTGGCAGCGTGTCTGCAATTTTTTGGGGGACCAATTCGTGTCCATTCAGTCGACATCCTGCGGGTTGTCTGAAAGATGTCTTCGAGGGGTTCCCCAAGGAGTCCTTCGAGTCCTTCACCTTGAAGCTCAAGAATTCCCAACATCGCCTTGTTTTTGAACCCGCTGGGCCTGAACCACATGGCCATGGCTCATAATTTATGCCTCCGTTTTGGGGCGGAACACCCATGTACCACCTATTGTGATGTTCACCAGGGGTTCAGGGTTTTGACCCACAGCCACATGCAGATCCATACCAATGTTGCAAGTCCAGCGCGAAACTCGGGCGCCCACCACCATGGTCCCAGGATAGGTCGGGATTTCAAAGGTCTCCTCACGCGGAACGTGTTAAACTCAACACGCGGGTTACTCTCCCGGTGTTTTTTTTGTATGAAACTCTCAAGACACCGAGACGATGCCTTTTTGACTCACGGTACTGGCGGGCAACCAAAGAAAAACCAAAGCCCATTGAGGGATCCCCCCTTTGAGCCCTTTGTTTGGATTTTAGCTTCCCACCCAAACGAGATGCCAATGAAACCAGAACGCCAGGCAGAAAGCACACACCGACCAGTTCAGGAGTGATTTTGTCGTTGTCACTTTAACAGGGGATTCCATGTCAGGGAAAGTGCCCCAAAGACAAATTGTCCGAACCGTGCCACTCGACGCTGCGATTGGCCGAGTTGGAGGTCCTCATGTATCCCTTTGCTTAAAGTTGGCCTTTCAACGAGGCGATATCGCACCCAGAAAAGCAAATAGGACTAAGAATAATAGAGCCGGCCGGCACTGAGTCGTATTCAAAACCTGCAAATATGTGCAAATGGACATGGAACCAAAAACGCCATCCTTCCAGGAACTCTCCGTTCATTTGCTTAGCAAACCGCCAGTGGCTCGCTCACGTGGCCGGCCACACGCGCCCCGCTCCGCGTCGTCGGTGTGGTACGGCTTCATCTCCAGGCTGCCGCTGCTGGGCCCCAGGAAGATGATGATCATGACCTCTTCGCGGCGCGGGGCACGGATTTTTTTTGCCGCGTGGCTTCTTGGGCCCTTCCAAAACGTTCCACACGGTTTTGGGGTGGTCTTAACATGGGCCGACCTTCGCAAAGGGTGGTTTTCCTGGTGCCCGTTTAAACCAACCCCAGAATGCACACCAAAAGAGACACCCATATCCATGTTGAGGGAATCAGCCACATCACTCGCCCGTGCCTCGCCTTGTGGCGCATAAACTGCGACAGCCACCTCACGACCTGCCAAGGAACAGTTCCCAGAACCTTAGGGGTCCTTAGAAGGGCTTCTTAACGTCCTTTCTGGGGGCTAGGTCCGTCTTGCGGTCTCGGATCCATAGAAGGGCTTCTTAAATCCTTTCTGGAATCTAGGTCCTATGGTCCTATGGTCCTGCGGTCTCTCCTGAAGGCTGCACAGCTACACAGGTCATATTTTACATCCGAGTTTGCCTAGGAAACTTTCTCAACCAGCGTTTAGGAAGTCATCCAAAGGCTAACTTTTCAGACATCCCCCATCTTTCTCAACCTACCACACAAGTGCTCTTTTCCCAGCGCCGAAGTTGGTTTGCAGCGCCTGGATTGCAGCCTGCATCTCAAGTCTGTCGGCCGCCGTATGGGTTCGGTGTTCTTTGAAGCTACCCCTTGGTTTTAACGGGCAGATCAAAGGAAGCCACCCGTTTTGGGCGGGTCCCTATCTTTACTTTGAGACAACACCGTGGCGCGTGGCACTGTTTGCCACTTGAGACCAGCGAACGCCATCGTGCTACATGTGGTTCAAGGGGAGCTGCAGGTATCTCCGAGCCTCTCAGGCAGCGGCAGCTGGTGCCTGTGTAGCGCCCGGCCAGTCGCGGAGTGGGTTCCCATCTGCAGGGCAGAGAAGAGGCTGCACGGACAAATCGACCCACTTCCATTCCGACTCCGGTGTACAGCTTGGTATCGACCTCCAGGTGCTCCAATCCAGGAAGGCGTCAGCGTCAGGGAGGGGGCGGAGGAGGGGGCGGAGGCGGGGGAAGCCGGGGAGGCGCCGGCGCTTTCGACCAAAAAGCCGCTGGGCTGCTGGTGTCGAAGCCATCGACGCCATGACCTCGACCCTGCCCGCCTTGTCCGCCTTGTACAGAGCGTGTTGCCTCGGTTGTTGCAAAGTCAATCCAATTCATTTCCTTCGGGCCCTTTTGGGTTGCATGTCAATTTGAAGAGGAGAAGCAAGACAAGTGATCACAGGTTCTACACTTCCTGCGCATGCCTTCGGATGTTTCTTTACACACCTTTTAACCACTATTCTTAAAACCAGCCTGCATTTGACTTCCCCTTAAACAACACTATGGTTTAACACATTTTGCCCAACCCTCGCAAGGATGGCAAGGCAACCATTCCTGCCAAACTCAGGCAATTAGCGACCTGCAACAGTAGCACACCTCCAAGCGACTTGTCAGTATCAGCGCAAACCACCACACCTTTATGTTCCTGGATTCTTGGATCAAGGAAACTCCTGTGGTATATGCCTGGGCATGGTCATGCGGCTGCCACCTCGTGCCATGGTTAAAAATCCTGTGGTCATGGGTCACGGCTCCCCGAATCGCACGAGCCATGGGCACCGCTCACTCCACTGTGCAGCTGGTCGAAGCCATCAAAGCCCCCCTAGCTGCGCCCGCACACTTGCCTTAGGGCGTGACCTCAGTAGCGTTCACAATTCTTGTCATCCCAAGGCGGACCGTCACCAGTTCAAACATACACCAACTACGACCCCAACGGAAGGCGGTCTTCAGGGGTCAATAGCCCCAGCCCCAGCCCCAGGCCACTTGCTGCCTGCGCACCTTCGCCTGCCGAGACCGCCGGGCCAAATGACTTCGAGAGCTGGCCACCAGGCGCTCTGCGGTGCGGTACTCCACCCATGGCAAACGGTCCTCGAAGACGGCGGGCGCTCAAAGAAGGCATGCGCGCGCGCGCAAGCGGTGGGTGATGATTGCTTGCTTTAGACCACGCAGATGCCCAGTGGCCATGGCAAAACAATGGGCATCCTGTTTTGGTTGATTGAGTTTCAGGGGGAACCCTTCCCAAAAACAGGAAAAAACGGGCACCACTGGCAACAGGGAACAGGGCCCACGACAATTTCCCAAGCAAAAGCATGTGGGGCTCTTGGCCTTCACAGTTCTGCAACGGAAGCTTTACCTGGGTTTAAAGGATTGCTTCGGCCTTCCCAATGTTCCCCCCGTCTACAGTGACTGGCGAGGGTTTTGTGCACTGCTCAAACAGGGTGCCTCAAAGGGGACATGCAAAAATGTTCTGGTCAACGTGTTGTTGTTGTTTTTTCTGAGTGGCTCGAATGCATTTTGTTCATATCTCCCCCTCAGACATCACGCCACCAAAAAGAAACTCATGTTGATTTGGAACGACATTGATGCTTGAAGCCACCAACACCAACAATCTATAACTCCCCCAGCGCAGTAGGGTCTGGACAAATTGAACAAGCTTATATAAGCTTCCTCTAATAAGACACACGCTTGCAAGGTGCTTTTCTGTGACAGCTTAGGACTACACTCGTTCCGGTTGCTATTTCCACATAAAACCCGGTTCTCTTGGACCATATTGGGCACTGTCCCTGCAAAAAGCTTGAATAGCTGGAAGTGAGGGCCCCCGAGTGAGCACGATTCTGCTTGTATAGCGGTATATGATTGGGAAGCGTGTAAACCAGGGGCCCCCCTGATGCATTCGCGGATGGTAGGGACAGCCTCCTGTCCGGGAACACTCCGGAAGGTTCGGCTGGGGATTGGCCCGGTCCATCAGCTGTTCGCCACGCGGCAGTGGACTTGGTCGTGGATTCAAAGGGAAGCTCCAGGGAAATGCAGGGAATGAGGGAAGGAGCCCTACTCCCCTATGGTTTCCCCAACCCTGGGTCCGGAGCACCAAGCTTTGGAAAGGGACCCTTCCGGGTTGGCTTTCTTTTGGTTTCCCTTGCAACCAAACAAGGAGACTGTTTGTGAGACTGACCTATCCGAACATGTCCCGGCATGTTTGGGTCCAGCGGTCCAAAAAGAGATCCATTTGGAAAACGACAGTTCAGCGATTCAACACTTGAGCAGTGTGGTTCCTAGAAAACCATCCTGCCGCGCTATTTGGAGGTATGCTCATTTGCCATGTGCAAGTAGAACCTCAGAAACGTTGATCCTCGCGCATGTACACTGCGCCTGCCCAAAAAATATGCGGGCTGTCGCTTGAACACCTTCTAGTGGCCAAAAAACCAACCCGGAGTTACCAAACCTGCTCTGTCGAGGAAATGATCTGTCCAAAACCTGAAATACGGGGCCCTCCAAGTAAAGGGGTATGGCCCGTTTTACCCCGGCGCGGAGAGCAAGCCAGGGCTCCTCATAGCGCGCCGGCAGCAAGGGCTGCTCGAGATTGTGCTGCTGCGCGACCGCAGCCGCGTGGAAGCCTTCAGCTGCCAACCTGGCGCCATGGAAACCCTTGGCCTGTGGCTGTTCCCTTCAGAACCCCTTACCATTCTTCAAGTCTTTAGGGGTCCATTACCTGATCATCAACGAGCAAAAGGATGTTTTGAGCATATCTGACCTTCCCCCATGAACAGAATCGTGCCCTTGTAAGCCTGATCGCCAACAGTGGACTACAGAATGTGGGGACCTTGTCCATTTTTGGTTTCTTTCGTGGAACATCACCCTTTGTGTAATGCAAACCTGCGTCATTCCGTCATTTCCATGGTTGCTCCTTGACTTTGCACAACCAATGGCCCCGATACCCAGCTTTCCACCACGCCCTTTTTGGTAGGGGTGTAACATGGGTGCAACAAGGAACCGAAAAGGCATCTGTCTTTCTTGAGGATGCCGATATTTCCCGGTGTTTAGAGAGAAACTGAAAAGGAATGCAGTTCGAGCAACGCCCAAATTCCATTTTACCATGGTACTGGTTTCTACAGCGCTTACTACAACCCCCGGCTAAAACGGGTAGCGGAACTACTAAATTGGCCATTAAGTAGCAGAACCATGCCAAGTAGTAGAACCATACAGCAGCAGCAGCAGCGGCAGCAGCAGCAGCGGCAGCGGCGGCAGCGGCAGCAGCGGCAGCAGCGGCAGCGGCAGCAACGGCAGCAACGGCAGCAACAGCAGCAGCAGCAAAAGGAGCAGTACTTAGTAACACCCAGGTTTTTTAACACACCAGTTAAACCAAGTGAGTAGTAACACCAAGGTTTTTAATCGCCCAGTTACCCTCCCACCAATTAACATGCAACCTGACGTTCGGGGGGTGCAGGTTCCACGCTTGGTGGGAGGGGTACACCCCACTCCCAGATAAACCCAAGCGAGTATAACCATCCAAGGCTTTTTTTCACCCCCCCCTTTCACCCCCCAACCAGGCTTTTCACCCCCCTCCCTTTTGACCCCCCATCCAGGCTTCCCCCCCCCCTTTTTAACCCCCAATCCAACGTAAACGAAGGCTTTGGGTCGCTCCTCCGCTTCTCCCGCGCCGTGGACTCGGCCAGCATCGCCTGGCCAAAGCTCCGGGAGCAGAACTCCTCCGCCCGCTGCCGCGCCCGCTGCCGCGCCACCTCGGGGCGACGGCGCCGGCGCAGGTGGCGCAGGTGGCGCAGGTGGCGGAGACATCTGCGGAGGGTTCGCCGAAAAATCGGTCTGGCAATGGGAAATCTCTGAAAAGAGGGTGGGAAAGTGGGTGGAAGGGTGGAAGGGAGAGGGTGGGAAGGGTGGGAATGCTCCAGGAAGCACGCCCACTGGGTTTCTGGTGGTGTTTGGTGATTTTTTCAGGATGTCCTAGAGATGGCTTCTTAGAATCTGAACCCGTGCACAGCGGCAAATCTCAAACAGGGTTGTCCTAGAATTGGGCGGGGTTCACCAATTGGATCTTCCAGGCTGGGCGGGGGGGTGATGTTGGCTCTTCAGCTCCCCTTTTACCAGAAAGCGGTCCACCATGTGGATCCTCTTGGTATGGTGATGCGTTGTCTTGAGGGTTGGTTTAAGGGGAGCTGAGGGGGTTCACTTTCCAATAAATATCGGGGAAAAAACACACACACACACACTCACCTCACACTTCCGAAAGTCAGGCTATGAAGTTTGAAAGGGTTGGTGGACATACATGTCCAAATGATGTCCACCACACAGTCCCCCGTTAAAGTTCATACGATGATGGCCCCACTGATCTATGTATCTGGCTTCTTCTCAAAATAGGGGTCCCCTAAAAATGGTTTGCTTCCTTTGGTTCCCCTTTACCACTAACTGAAAAGGGGTCCAGGGACCACTTGGGCTGGAGTGACGTGTGTTGTTGCTCGAATTGGAACCTTACAAGATGTTTTTGTTCAGGGTACCCGTTTCATCTTGGTTTCAACAAAAACCAATAGGACAACCACGGTTATTTCGGGCGTCCCCAATTTGGCGCACACCAATACATGTTCAAGCCAAAGGAAAATTGGTCATAGATTATGTAGACGATGCCCACCACAGGGTCCCTGACTAAAAGTCACACCCAATTCTTCCTGGATGTTGCTTTGAAAGACCTCACATGCATTCTGCGCCGGTTGCCACCAGCTCTCCCGAAACAGAGTTCCCAAAAGGGTGCATCTAAAAACCACGTGCTTTACAAGGGGATCTTCGAGACCAGATGTTCTCAGGGTCAATTCCCCGTGCTCAGAAACCCCATTTCCCCTGGTTCTTTGGCTTGAAGTAGAGGATCGACCCGGTTCGCCATCTGCTACCATTTGGCTTGTCCAAAAACAGCATTGCCGGGCAAATGAACCATCCACCCGGAACCGTGAATCTTCCATTAATCTCCGGGAGAAAAAGAACCCCCCTGTTCCACGAGTTTTTCCCCGGAGAGCACCAACAAAAGCAAATCAAGTTTGGTTCCCCAACTGTTTGCCTCATGTCGGTTCCTCCTCAGTTTCATCCATGGGAGAAGATGTCACATGCACTTCCCTGTCGTTGTCCTTCGTGCCAAAACAAAGCCGGTGTGGGCTTCCTGTTTATGTCACCCAAGTGGGAGAGCCCATTTCTCATCATTTGTGATGCTTTTGACCATCTTGAGGGGTCCCTTCGGCGCTTCGGAAACAAGGAATCACATGAGTAGAGGTGATGTCATATGACGCACGCACGCACGCACCCACACGCACACACACGCACGCACGCACACACACACACACAAACACAAAACACACAACACACAACACACAACACACAACACACACACAGAACACACACACACACACAACACACACACACAACACACACAACACACACAACACACACAACACACACAACACACACAACACACACACACAACACACACAACACACACAACACACACAACACACACAACACACACAACACACACAACACACACAACACACACAACACACACAGCACACAACACAACACACACAACACACACAACACAACACACACACAACACACACACAACACACACAACACACACAACACACACAACACACACAACACACACACAACACACACAACACACACAACACACACAACACACACAACACAGCACACAGCACACAGCACACACAACACACAACACAGCACACAGCACACAGCACACAACACACAACACACAACACACAACACACAACACACAACACACAACGCACAACACACAACACACAACACACAACGCACACAGCCCGCAAGAAACGCGCAGCCCCCCCAAAAAGGGAAGCAGCTTCACGCCAAGGCGCCCAGCCCGCCAAGAGCCGCATCTGCCACCCAGCCGCCTCCAGGATGGGCATCCCCAGCGCCAGCGAGTGGCTGCAGTCCACGGAAAAGGGAAGACGTCCTGTCGATATTTGTCGGTAGATATTTATATATATATATATATATATGTGCATATATGTATATATCCTGGCATGTTTGTTCAACATGTCCAAAACCTCAAAAGATCTGCAGCTGCTACTATATGTCCAATGCCACCAAAAACAAAACGATCTTCACCATGTGCGCTTCTTGTGCCCCCAAATGAGTGCGCGCCTGCGAGTGCCTGCTTGCCCGCGTGCTTGCGTGCGTGCATGCCTGCGTGCCTGCATGGGCGTGTGGGTGTGAGATGTCCGTGTGTCTGTGCGTGTCTGTGCCTGTCTATACGTGTCTGTGTCTGTCTGTGTCTGTCTGTGTCCATGTCCGTGTCCGTGTCTGTGGTTGTTTTCAGCTGTCTCTGGGCACTCTTGGGTGGAAGGAGATGCAGGCAGGCGAGCGCATTTGCTCAACTAGGCTTTGTCTATAGCAACTCCAAGTGGACGCCCGGAAAGTCAGGGCAGTCCTTAAGGAAAGAAGCCCCTTGATTATCGGTCTGCAGGACCAAACATGTGTTTGGCGGCGGGCAAAGAAAGGAATCGAACCCTTGTTTGGGGGCGGAACATCAAGAATTGGTCTTCGCGATCAATCCAGACTGGTACATCCCCTTCCCGCCCCAAGATTGAACAAATGAATCCCTGAAGCCGGCCCAGCCCACATAATTGCTGAGGCAAGGAGAACTCAATGCTAGCGTAGCTAGCTTTCGTCATCAATCAAGGGCATCTCCAGGTGTGGATGTTGGAGGTATAAATGCTTGTATACTACCAATATAAGCTTGTAACAGTATGTACCCCTTAAGCAATGCTACCTCCATACACCACAAGAACAAACATACCTGAAACGGCCCTTGAATCAATGGCGGTTCCTTTTGGCCTTCCCTTCAAAGCTACCTAAAGGAAATAAGCAACTGACAAAAATGTGCGTAGGTGTGTTACCTAAAGCGGCTGGCTTTCTCAACCTGTTTTAGTCTCTTTCTGACCCATATATATTTATATATACAAACAATATTCTATGTGTGTGTGGTGTGATTGTCCGTTTGGTTCCCACAATGAACAATTGGCGCAATTGCGAGTAATCTGCGGTACCCTAAAATGTATTGTTTCCCTAACTGCGTTTAGGGCTCAGGAAAAAACAATAAATCCAAATCACCAGTTGGGTGTTTGTTTTGTTGAGCGCACCCTTTCAGGTTGGTGTAACGGGAAACCAAAAGAACAGTCCACGCTTGTCTAAGCCGTTCATCTACTGTGTTGAGAGTTAAGCAAGACCTCACCCGTGGTGACGGCGCCTTTATTGGGGATTAAACTTGGCTGCTATGGCTTTTCTTGAATCTTCAAACAGTAAAGCCGTACTTGGGGTTGCCAACAAACCCTCAATTGGGCCCTTTGTTAACCTTACCCGCAAATGAGAACATGCAACCAAGCAGTTGGAGGGGCAAGCTTTAACAATGCCCGACAACATCCAGTGGCAGCGCAGGTGTAAGTCTTTAAGGGTTCCCTTTTATGCAACCCCAAGGGTATTCTCAAAAAATGAAGCAGCCTGCTATGGCCATGAACTTCAGGGGGAACCACCCTCACAAGCGGTTGGTTCCAAAGAATCCCCACAGGTCCGCCATTTTGAGTTCGATGAAAATGCGGCCACGCCTTTTGAAGTTGCAAGTTGTTTCGGCGCCGGTCCTTTCGTGAGCTCCTGGAGCCGCTGTAGTGCTGCCTAGGGGAACCAAAACGAAACCACCCGCAGAGATCTATCTGATACCCGCAGCTGAGGCAAATCATAATTTGCGAAGCAGAAATCAGAAATCCCAAGAATGGGATCCTTTGTGGTTTTTCGCTCGTACCCCGAAACATCCCAGGATCAAGCAATACCCAAGCTCGTTTGAACCCTCGAATCGGTGCAGGAATCCCTGGAGGCCAAACATCAAATGGATCCCATTGGCTTTCAAAGGCAGAGCAAACGGAAAGTGAAAACCGGCCCTATGGGTCCTTTGAGGTTCCCCATTTGAGTGTGTGTGTGTGTGTGTATGTGTTGAAAACCAAGCACCCATCTTTGTGGTTCCTATGTTGACTCGCAGTCCACAGACTTTCGGATGGGTTTTCGAGGTTCCTTGGTAATCAGGAAAGCTTAGTTGGTGGCTTGGTTGGCTTGGGGATTTGGAATATGGCTTTCGCAGAGGGCAAAGGGGAACCATTCCCTAACCTCCAAACCATCCACTCCATGAATTAGTCAGTTGGAGTCCGCTGTTGCCAGGAAAGCAATACCCTGACATCAAATAGGTGTCATATGACTGCCGGAACGGAGCCATTTGACGCTCTCTCTCCCTCTCTCGCCTGGTGAGCTGTGCCATGCAATTCTTCTGCGAAATCGTCGAGGGCCTCGCCGCCCATCAAGCACCAGCCCGCTTTGAGGTGTTCGCCAACGTCCTGCGCCCCGCGCCCCGGCAACTCACCAACTGGCGACCGGCGACATGACCTTCGCAAAAATTCGACCGTGTTTTAGGCGGGTGCTTGCCGAGCTTCCTGTAAGATGTCCGGTTTCGATGAATCCCAAAAAGTGCAAGAAGTTCATAGCAACCAACAAGCCTCGCTTTCAGCTCGTCCAGCTACATGCTCGAGAATCTCAAGCGAATCTCCGCCGCCCATCTAAATCTATGGCCAGTTTGATTGCTTTGGGAGATGCCCAACAAGGCAACGCGGAGCCACGCAGGCGCGGCTTGTAATTACTTGGGTCCTGGCTTAAACATGTCCGCATCAAAACGAAGACCTCCCGGTCTAA